CTGTTTCTTCTTTTCCATTATTATTATTTTTCCGCCGTGTGATTTTGAGTTTACAGATATATCGAAAAGATTTATAGTCCATAAGAATGTACTCCGTAAAAGATTATTGCAGTTCACCCTGCGTAAATGAACCTTAACCCCTTTCGAAGTTATTGCCCCTTTTGCAAGAAATGCTTGTTATCGCTACTCCTTCGAAACCGTAAACCATAGAGGTATGAAACCTTCACCAATGTCTTCGACTAATTATGAGAACTCTTCAATCTATTCATTGCGAAAGCATTCGGTGAACCCTTCAATGAGTTATTGCCCCTGAAACTTTTTGAATTTTACAAATAATTAAAAATTTTCAAAACGACAAGTCGCAGAGACATGGGACCAACTGCATAAGATTCATTGACCTTTGACCTTAAAATTAATGTAAAGGTCAAAGGTCAAGTTCATTCAAAAAATGAGAAATTTAGCTCTTTTTATATCTCTTTTGTCTTTAAACATATACTTAATGTCTATGCATCATTAATATGTACTCTTAAAACTCTTTCAAAGATTTCATTCTTGTCCCCTAACATTAACCCTTTTAAAAGTTATTGCCCCTTGTGCAAAAAACCTTGTTATTGCTACTCCTCCGAAACTGTAGACCGTAGAGACACCACACCTTCACTAATATCTTGAGGGTCCTTAGGCCTAACTTCACTGTATAAAATCGAAAGGATCTGATGACCCTTATATGAGTTATTGCCCTTTAACTTCTTTGTACTTACTATTAAACCTTATAACTTGAAAAGTGTAAGTCATAAAAGCATGGGGTCAATTGCATTGTGACCCTTGACCTTTGACCTTGAAAATTTTTTCAAGATCAAAGGTCAAGGTCATTCTTTTTTTTTTTAATTTTCATTTTTTCTATGCTTTAAGAAAATTTTGGTTTCTTTTTCATGAAATTTAATTTTAAGGAGTCAGATATGAAACAAATTTGAAATTCAAAGAAGGTGGAAAGACCTCTTATTGTTCTGAGAACAATAAGTCTCCTAGTTCCTATTATTTTTCTTCCGCTGATTTTTTGTTTTGACATTTATCGAAAAGACTTTTTGTTCATCGTAAAGGTCATTAAAAGTTAGGAACAAATTTGACCCAACGCGTATGAACTATGGCCGCTTTCGAAGTTATTGCCCCTTTCGCAAGAAATGCTTGTTATCCCTACTCCTCCGAAACCTTAAACCATAGAAGAATGAAACCTTTACCATTGTCTTCGACTACTTGAGGGGACTCTGGAATCTATTCATTGTGAAAGTATTCAATGACGCCTTCAATGATTTATTGCCCCTGAAAGTTTTTGAATTTTAATAATAATAAAATATTTTCAAAACGAGAAGTTGTAGCGACATGGGACTAACTGCATAAGATTCATTGACCTTTCATCTTAAAATTCATGTAAAGGTCAAAGGTCAAGGTCATTCCAAAATTGAGAAATTAAGCTCTTTTTATATCTTTTTTTGTCTTTTAACATATACAAACTGTCTTAGCATCATTATTATGCACTTTTAAAACTATTTTAAAGATTTTATTCGTATCCCTTAAAATTGACCCTATTAAAAGTTATTGCCCTTTGTGCGAAAAACCTTGTTATTGCTACTACTTCGAAACCGTTAACTGCAGAGACATAAAACCTTCACTAATGTTTTCGACTCCTTTAGAAGACTCTGGAATCTATTCATTGCGAAAATATTCGGTGACCCCTTCAATGAGTTATTGCCCCTGAAAATCTTTGAATTGCACAAATAATTAAAAATTTTCAAAATGAGAAGTCGTAAAGATATAGGACTAACTGCATAAGATTCATTAACCTTTGCTCATAAAATTCATGTAAAGGTCAAGGTCATTCAAAAATTGAGAAATTAAGCTCTTTTTATATTTTTTTGTCTTTTAACATATACTTAATAACTTTGCATCATTAATATGTACTCTTAAACCTATTTCAAAGATTTCATTCTTGTCCCTTAAGATGGACCCTATTAAAAATTATTGCCCCTTTTGCGAAAAACCTTGTAATTGCTATTGCTCCGAAAAAGTAAATCGTAAAGACATGAAACCTTCACTTATGTCTTATGGGACTTTAGGCACAACTTTTATCTTCAAGTGAGAAAGGATCTGGTGACTCCTTGAATGAGTTACTGCCCTTTAATTCTCTTGTGCTTAATATGAAACCTTATAACTTTAAAACTATACGTCATAGATACCTGAGGTTAATTACAATGTGACCCTTGACCTTTGACCTTGAATATGACTTGAAGGTCAAAGGTCAAGGTCACCTCCAAATTTTGAATTTTTCTTGCATTTTTTCTTCTTTTAAGCCATTCCTGGTTTCTTTTTATGAAATTTAATTTTAAAGAGATAAATATTACATGAAATTGAAATTCAAAGAAGGTGGAAAGACCTCTTATTGTTCTGTGAACAATAAGTCTCCTAGTTCTTCTTATTTTTCCGCCGTGTGATTTTGAGTTTCAAGATATATCGAAAAGATTTATAGTCCATAAGAATGTACTCCGTAAAAGATTATTGCAGTTGACCCTGCGTAAATGAATCTTGACTCTTTCCGAAGTTATTGCCCCTTTCGCAAGAAATGCTTGTTATCGCTACTCCTCAGAAATCTTAAACCGCAGAGGTATGAAACCTTTATGAATGTCTTCGACTAATTAAAGGGACTCTTCAATTTATTCATTGTGAAAGTATTCGGTGACCCCTTCAATGAGTAATTGCCCCTGAAACTTTTTGAATTTTACAAAAAATTATTTTTTTTTTAAACGAGAAGTTGTAGAGACATGGGACTAACTGCATAAGATTTATTGACCTTTGATCTAAAATTTCATGCAAAGGTCAAAGGTCAAGGTCATTTAGAAAATGAGAAATTAAGTTTTTTCTATATCTCTTTTGTCTTTCAACATATACTTAATGTCTTTGCATCATTAATATGTACTCTTAGAACTCTTTAAAATATTTTATTCTTGTACCCAAAGATTAACCCTTTAAAAAGTTATTGCCCCTTGTGCAAAAAACCTTGTTATCGCTACTCCTCCGAAACCGTAGACCGTATAGACACGAAACCTTCACTAATGTCTTAAGGGTCTTATGGCATAACTTCACTGTAAAAGTGCAAAAGGATCTGATGAACCCTTATATGGGTTATTGCCCTTTAACTTCTTTGTACTTCCTTTTTAACCTTATAACTTGAAAACTATAAGTCGTAGAAGCATGGGGTCAACTGCATTGCGACCCTTGACCTTTGACCTTGAATATTTTTCAAAGGTCAAGGTCATTTCAAATTTTTTTTTATTTTTAATTTTTGCTATTCTTTAAGACAATTTTGGTTTCTTATTCATGGAATTAAATTTTAAAACAAAATTGAAATTCAAAGAAGGTGGAAAGACCTCTTATTGTTCTTTGAACAATAAGTCTCCTAGTTTTTTAATTAATATTTGCTATGGAAATTGGGAAATTTACACCTTTCTTTTGGGAAAAAAGGTACCTTTTTTGCATTGGGAACGGGGCCGTTGAACGGCCCCAATTTTAGAGAATCGAGAGCCCTGGACGCCCGGGGCTACCATTTTTGGGGGTCGGGCTAGTGGTTTTCTACAAAGAGATTGCCCGTCGGGCTAGTAAAAAATATAACTACACACGCAATACACGAAAAGCACAACCGGTATTTTCACTCGTTTTTGGCTATAAAATTCCAAACCAGTTTAAATTTTCCAGACAACATACTCCTACTGTCAATAAATCTCCATATTATCCGTTTTGCAGAGCTACCTGATTTATTTACTTCCAAAAACGATCTTTTTTTCCTAATCCGAATTTCCTCTATTCCTCCGTTTATGGTAAATACATGCAGCTATATCTTTAAATTATTTACGATCACTCAATCAACTGAAAGATAAGTGTTTTGTGACTCACATAAAATATATTTCTTTTGTATTGAATGATTTAATATGAAAACAAAATGAATTTCATTTCATTTTAAATGAGCTAGTGCAATGATCAGAAAAAGGGAAGATAATTTATTGAAATTCATTTTAATTTTATTTCATAATAATTTAAACATAACTGAATTTGATATTGAGAATTAAAATTTACTTTAAAAAGAATGACCTCAGTACCCTGACTTTTATCAGCAATTAATTTCTTTTTCAACATTAGTTTTATTTTAATTTTTGCCCCTGTATTTGGGCTAGTAACTTTGCAGCTGCCACTAGCCTGTGGGCTAGTACTTGATTTTTTTAATTGCACAACCCTGTGTACTATAGTTAAAAACAATGGATACAAAGTTGTTTCATACACCTTTCATCTTTGAAACTTGACACATTTTTACTTATTTAAAATCCAAAAAAGTTAAAAATAATAAGTTCATGTGGTATGCAAATGATATCTATCTTTCTTTTTTTTTTTTAGATCCACGCTCTTTGAAATCAAACTTTATTAAAAAATATATATGTATTAATTATATTCGCTCGCCTTATCATGCCTTATAATTTTGAAACCCAAAATAAAAAATAATATTTGTAAAAAAATTTCGCTCGCTCGCCTCACTTTTTATTTTTGAAAATCCGAAGAACTATTTTACAAATTGGTGTGGCCTTAGTAAGTTCATGTTGTTCTACATGTATCTTATCACGCGAAATGTAAAAATAATGTAAGCCTTGAATTAGGTGAGCATAAAAAGTAATAATACAATTATGTTTTGCAATTACACATTTGTTTTAGAAACATTTTTCGATATCGACCTAATTCAAATAAAACACAAAACAAACAAATATAAAAGGTAGGTGTATTAAAACACAATATCAGATTCCTGAATGTTATTTAGTAATCAGTACATATATCCAGATGAATAAATTAATGACAAATCAAATCATTCAAGTTGTTTTTCTTCCTACTCACTAAACTGTCTTTTTTTCCACAATGCCAAGATCACGCTTGAGTGTACTCAAAGAAAACACCAATCAAACACTTACCTGAGTCCACTCTTTAATCCAAACATACAAGCAAATGCCTCAAACAATGCTTGCACATGACTTTCATGTATGCTACACCCATGTTCTCTTTTCTTAAGTATAAGATAAAGCTGGTTACTGAAATCCTGTGCCTGACAATGAAATCTACAAAGAAAACCATGGGAAAGGATGATTTTTACATATTAATAGTTTTACATTATTTTTAGCAATAATTATTTTAACAAGAGCAATCTTAAAGAGATTTAAATACAGTCAAACTTGTCTTAAGAGGCCACCTTTGGGAAGTCTGGAAACTGGCCACTTAAGACAGGTGGCCTCTTATTCCAGTTTGCCCTCGAAAAGGACATTCAGGCAATGAATAAACAACATTAAGCACTACAATTAAATTAATCAAATAATAAAACAGGTCAATTTAACAAAGGCTTTTAGTGTATATAATAATTCAAGCTAATTAAAAAAATATTAAAGAATTAAATTTTTTAAAAGTTTTTGTGCATGTTTCTGTTCCTACATATTAGTTAAATAAGAAATTTATACATACAGTGCCTGGTTATTATCCTTTTTCATAAAGAAAAAAAATTACACAAAAATACATTTTAGTGGTAAATAAAATAAAGCATTGAAATTTAAGTAAGAATATGTTAATAAAAATTCCACTTGCAAACGTTCAAAAATGGTCAGCAGTGTAACACCCCTCCCCCCCCTAAATTAATTCATCGGCAATTAACTTACTTGCTGTGGTTTTTAAAGTCTGGTAAATTTTATTGTTTATAAAGCTGTCAGAATTTCTATGTAACATACACAAACACACAAATAAATTTAACCACTTGACCAGAGAGATGTATTGACGCAGGTGTCATATGCAGTGAAGCGTGACTAATCCCTATCGATCATCTGTTGATAGTGAAATTCACGAGATAATCATGCCACATGAAGCACTGTTTTCACAAGAGTAGCAATTAGAGTTTCTACATGGAATCAAAATCTAAAAGGTGTGAATTTCTTTAGGTAGAGGAAAGTATCAATTGTATTTAAATTCTTTTTATTTTTCAATCGGCGATCTTGAAAAATAAGTACAAATTCATCTAACAGAGTTCAGTGTATCCAATAGTAATTTGTTTAATTGCATAAATAGCTGGGTTAAATTGGCTATTGGGATATAATTACCCGAGAGAATGAGTTTAAAAGACACAAGTTTGGCTTTCCAGAAAGCCTGAAATGTCATCTCTTTGGTATCAATAATGTCAAAGAAATAAAACAGAAAGGGAAATATTTTAATGCAATGAATATATGGATTATTACACCTGAAGTTCCCAAATGACTTATTCAGCAAACTCCACGGTAAAGTACGCAGTTTCTTTTAGCCGCAGTACATATATGGAAAGCATGGACGTCTGCGAGAGCACCCAAGGCGATTTTTGGTGAAATTTCATTCAAGCGGTCTTTGTGCTTCTGGGTGTTTACTTAAATTCAAATACTTCCCTTGAACTATATTTTCTTAACACAATACGGAATTATCAACAATAATTATCATTCATTAAAAAAAACAGCTAATTATTAAAGTTTGACAGGAATTAATTTAATAAATCCAATTACAGACTAAAAAATTAACATAAAATTAGCGTTGACCACTCTTCGTACATTTTTTGCAGAATCTAATTGTAAGCTTGTTCTTTTGTGCGAGAACCAGTTTTTCCTTTCGCGTCAACAAATCTATATATAGAAATCACGTCATTGTCAATTCTCCTTGTGTGGCTTACCAATTTAATAAGGCATAGTATTGGGGATCAATATATATACGGCACACCGAAATTATAGATATCATATTTATAAGCATCGCACTTCTTTTCTAAATTTTCCTTGGCTTACAAATAGGCCGAAACCGAAAGTAGATCACACACTCCTAAGCTAGTTCTTCTAAAACAAAACCAGTTTACAGGCTATTTGGAACTCTGTAAAACATCGAGGACTTCCGAAAGATTAATGGAGGCTTACACTAGGACTTCACTTCCGGCATACAATCTTAATGTGTCATCTCCCGAGGGAGATGACAATAACAGAATCACAGCAAGTGACGAAATGGCCGCCTATTACAGTGTCAATAAGGCTGTTGGGGGAGGATTTGAGTGGCCGCTGGCCGCGTTACACAGGTGGCCGTTTATTCCAGTTAAAATTTATAGGAAAAATCGTCGGGGGGAACTGAAAGTGGCCGCTGACCGCAAGTGGCCGCTGATTTCGGGTGGCCGCTAAGACAAGTTTGACTGTATCCCCACAGGGCTCATATCAAATGAGGCAATGTTGAATTTTCCTAATTAAAAACATAAATATATGAGGGACTGAGATAAAAGAACATGATGGTAAGGTAGATTGAATACCGATAACTTTCTGACATGTAAAGCTGCAACATATATATAGTACTTATTGTTAAAAGAAATCTGCATAACAAGGAAGGGCAACAGGAATAAGACTTTCTATCTTTTTCCAACCTAGATATCATCAGAAATCACTTGGAGAAATTGGAGAACTTGTGTAAAGCATAGCGTGAACCATAAATCCAAGATGGCGAGTGTCGTCTCATGCAGGCTTGTAAGTTAAGAATGAAATAAATTGATAATGAAATTCAAATATAGTTTTTTTCATCTTTCTATTGAAAATTTTGAAAACTGATACAAACAAGAAGATACAGTTACTTTTAATATTTGCCCTAAAATTCAGAAGTTGTTTAAATCTCATTAAATTTCCGTTTTTATCCGGTTTTTTTGTTAAAATTTCGTTTTTATCGGATTAAAAAATTTATTGTGTCCTCTAAATGTAAGTCGTAAAAACGCTTATAGAACTTATTGCTAGCGCTCTCGAGCACTAGCAACTACGTTAGTCCTTTTCACTGGAATACGCATGCCCGACTCCATAGCAAGGGATTCTGGGAATATTGTATTTGAATTTCGTTTTTATCATCTTCACGTGAAATTTTGTGTTTAATCGTTAATGTCAAAAAGTAACAGTAGCTTTTGTCTTATAATGCAAAGTTATTTTCAATATCATAATAAATAACATGTAGCTAGCTTTATCTTAAATTCCTTCAAGCTCGGAAGACAACTTCGGATATGTTTTCCGATCTTGCCGGAAAGGCCCGAAAAGATACGATTGCTACAAAACAGTACCAATGGTTCCTGAAAAATTTCACCTCGAAATTGAAATTACAGTAGGTACATAATGATTAAGGCACAGCCAAAGAGCTATGCCATTGCCGATGTGTAGCCCACTCTAGATTCACAATTTTAAATTGAGACTCCACTCCAGCACAACTCCAGAATACCACTGTGCCTTCCTATCGTTAATTTATAATCGATTCAGAAATTTAAACCAATGTTTTAGAAATCTGCTTCTGTGTTTTATGATTGCTACAGCGCTAGCTCACAGTGGTTTCAATAAGATTTTCAACAGAAGGAAAAATAGATGGAATAGCAGGAAACCAGTTTCGGCGAGGGGTCTGGGGGCCGCCTTAGGCCCCCAGCGGGTCCAGGGCAGAGCCCTGGTGGGGGGCCCAGGTGGGCGAAGCCCCCCGACCGAAAACGAAAATCAGCATTTTGGACTCATTTTTCTTACCTCTAAGGCCATTAAAAAAGTACCATTTTTTCACATTCCTGTCACTATCAATTATCAAATTTTACCTAAAAAAGCCAACTAGAAAACAAATTTTTACCTTTTCACAGATTTGTTTGACAGATTTATGAAAGACTAAATTTTTTTCTTCTGAAACTAAGTGTCTATAAAAACATATAGACAACATGTATGAAATTCTAGGTAAAACATTATACTGGAAATTCTACATATTTAGTCCTTTTCACATAAATTGGTCAGGACTTTTATTCAAAATTCAAAAAAAAGATTATTAAGTTAAAAATTTAAGATTTTTAAAACACTTTGGGGATGAACAGTACCCCCAAAAATGGAAAAATTCTGCAATATTGAGACTTTTCATAAAATAATCTTGACGATTTTGTACAGATTGTCAGAACAAAAATATTAAGAAAATGAAATTTGATACAAAATACTAGTACATTAAAACCTTTCCAAATGTGAAAATAATATACTTTTCCTGTATTTCAAGAGATCTTGCACGAATAAATGAGAATGAAATTTCACGTTTTCAGTTTGAGGAAATTTTGTAAGAATTTCTACGTCTGAGTCAAGATTAAAATATTAAGACTTTTATTCGTAATGATTACGTCTTGGCTTATGTGGAAATCCTGTAAGAATTCATACATTTTTTCGTAAGGTCTTAATCACCGGGGAACCCCTCACTTAATATTGAGGCTGCCGCACAATCAATTTTCAATAGAAAATTATAAAACACAAACAAATCTTTTCGGAAGGGACCATTTTTATGCCTCTTAACGTATGTGATCTCAAACGCATGTGTTACAGCAGCAGCACGTTTCTCCACGACTTCGCTCAAATATTCGTTGTCCGCGACGCCATTACATGACACTATCGATCTAATCAAACTTCCTTGAAAAAAAGAGCGCACTCAAGGGAAGCTACTCTAGATCATAGAAATAGTTGCGGTAATGATTTCACGTATCAGCACCGGCAAAATTCTAATGACGGAAATTTCATAGCCGGCAAAATTTCTCGTACAGGCGGTTAATTTTGCCGGTTGCCGGCTCTTATTGAAAACACTGGCTCACCAATCTTTTTCAAAGATAAGCTTGTTTAGATGTCATCAGTGTTGTGTAGATGTTTGTTATTTACAAATGGCAGCACATGTCGTGCCAGTTGAGCTCGAGAAATGTTCCCACCAGCCGGGGAAAAAGTTCATCAGATCAAAAAAAAAAAAAAAAGCTTACCTACTGACCCTAATTTTTTCAGCCTGAAAGCGGAAACAAACCTATTTTTTTGTTAGGCCTCATGAAAATTATGGGAAAATGCACTGTTTGTGACTACACAATTACCCTTGTGAAAGTCTAAGCAGGTAACTATTTATAAATTCTTAGTTTATACTTATAAGTATTTTTGTGTAAATAAATGCTTCATTTCCATTTTTGGTGGTAATTTTAAAAATCACTCTAAAACAGGGCGAAATATGACTGAAACAGTCACTGTACCTAGTTCTTTGTCTAGACTGAAAACTTCAGATGGTAGTAAGTCCAAATGACTGACAGCAGAAATAAGATTTCAAGAACTCTGAGTGGGTAAAATATGTTTGAGATTTACCTGTAAAACCATATCATATGGTTTTCTGGTATCCATGTTGGGATCATTGATATTTTTTCATCATCATTTGGAGCCATCTCCCATAAGCTTTCTGATGACAGCTCTGAAAAGGACGTGTACAAATGGTCAAGGGATCTTAAATGAGCCATTATAGGACTCTTTTGGACGTACTTCTTTAACTCGTTGATTTTTTCAGTCTCCTCGTTGTTCTCAGTTTCCCCGCATTGAATAAGATCAAGAGGTTTCGTATCAGGAACATGCACAATTGATATATTAAGGTTTTCGATGTGCTTTCTTTCCCATTTACTCAGTCTTAGTGGAAGGTCGAGTGAAGCAATTTTGGTTAAGCACTTTCCGTGAATTGACTGCGAATCCTCAGATTCTGTTGAAATTATGTCAGGACCGGAGGACTTTGGAGGAGTTCCATCTTCATCTTGGTCAGAGCTCCCAGGCGTACTCTCACTGACAGAACAAAATCGTTTACGATCAGGGGATACAGAAGAGTCTGACATCCGTCGTTTTTTGTTTGCTTCATAATATACTACTTCGCTTTCTGCATCGGAGACGCTAACCGTTTTGTCTGAATCGGAATCTGCCATGCTAGCGAGCGGCGTTTTGGGTTGAAGTTAAGTCTTACTATAAACGAGTCGACCTATAACGTTCGTACGTTGGTATATTACCAAAACGGAAAAAAAAAAATAATGGTCTGTTTTGTTTGGTTTGTTTAATTGTTTTGGTTTTGTTTGTTTTGTTTTTTGTTTTGGCTTGGAATTCATTTTTCAGTAAAGATAGAAAACATTACGGAATTAGATTATGATATCATTCTATAAACCAAATCAATCAACAATGGAATAGACGAATGCTCACAAAAATCTGCCGGGTTATAAAGTTACAATTGTAAAAACTCTCATTTTGCCAAAACTGAATCATTTATTTATTTCTCTTCTTAGGGGACGACCATTTGATTCTGAGGGGGGGGGGGGGGGCTGGGAGATTTTGGAAATAAATAATCTGTCCCTGAAAATGTTGAAAATAAATAATCTGTCCTCCACTGCCAAGAAAATAAATAATCTGACCTTGACTTATGATATTTAAATATTGTGAAAATACCTTTTTATTTAAGTTCAATTTAACCTCAGAATCTTCAATTCAGCATGTTTTTGGCTCGCTTCGCTCGCCATTTTAGAACCAAATAGTGTTTAAAATCAGATTACCATACTGGATACTTGTAGCCAGTTGATGAGCATGGCAATGTGCACTCAGTAGATGTGATGAATCACTTTAAATACAAGCCAATTCTTAAACACCACTAAAGATAAATTTTCTTGTCAAAGAAGTATACTTCCCGATAAATTAATACAAAGTAGTGGCGGATTTAAGGAAGGCATACATGTGTATGACTCCTCCCCTAAAATTTCAAAGTATGATATGAATAGTATTAATATTGCCATAGTTTAGTACAATACCAATATTTTTGTGCCTAGTTTTACTCTTAAAATACACAAAAACCCAAGAGCTTCAGGGGGCTTTGCCCCCTAGGCCCCCTTCATTCAAAGTATGATATGACTAGTATAAATTATGTCATACTTTGGAACATAACTAACCAGTTCCTACATAATTGTGCCTGGTTTTACTCTTAAAATACACAAAACCCCATGAGCTTCAGGGGGCTTCACCCCCTGGACCCCCTTCATTCAAAGTATGACATGACCAATATTAATAATGTCATACTTTGGTACATAATAACCAATACCACTACATGTATAATTGTCCTGGTTTTATTCTTAAAATACCCGAAAACCCAAGAGCTTCTGGGGAATTTCCCTCCCTTGGCCTCCACCAGTACTTCACCCAGGACCCACTGGGGGCCTTAAGGCGGCCCCAGACCTCTTGCTTGAACCATAGACCTAAAACGAAGGGACTGCCGACTTATGACGTCACAATCACTATCTTCTTGCGCTCGCAGCGCCCTCACCGGGATGTATAGAAACAGACTTCCTGTAATGAAATCAATGTTGTCGCATCACGGATTTCTGCATTCTTTGAGGAAATAACAACAAATTAGAAAAATCAATCATTTATCTAAGCTTTCTTCGACGAAATGATCTCGATTTACTACTTCGGAAGTTATAACTTTACGCTATAGAGTCGATGGAAACGTTTTAACTGCAGACATCAGCTGACTACGACGTGACATCTCTTGAATGCTGTCGATTATATTTTACGGTAGTACATGTTTATCTTCTTAATTATTTTACAAAGTAAGGACACAAATTATCTACCAATATTTGAACAACGACCAATTTCAGATCTTCGCTGAATTAATATAAACAATAAATACATTGTGAAGTGCCGTTTACAATAAGTGCTTGAGGACGGGACCCCCCTCCCCCTTTTTCGATATAGACCCCTGGGCTTTTTTCTCATAAATAATCCTTAATTGATTTATTTTTGATAAGATCTATACCAAAAATTAGAAAAATTACCTGAAGCATACGTTCTTTAGAATCTACCCTACACTCTATATAAAAATCAACGAGAGTGGGGTAAATTTTTTATAGATAATAGAAGGTTAGTTTAATCAAATTTTCTGAATTGATAGGATAGATTATATCACAAATGTGTCATCCATATATAATTTATATGAAAAAGTCTAACAGGCCCTGGGGTCTATATTTATGTGAAAAAGTCTAACAGGCCTGGGGGTCTATATTGGGGGAGGGGGTCCTGTCCTCAAGCACCTGTACCGTTTACAGTTTTTAGATCAACAACTTAATAAATTGAGATTAGATGTGAATGATCTACATAATTATGTATTTTTAAAAAGTTGGATTTATGTAATTTATGTAATCGTGTTAATTCAGGATTACAACTTGTCAGTGTTGAAAAGATTTTCTAAGAGATTTTTTTTTATTTTTCCCCACAGGTTTTGTTGATAGCCTGTCCGCTTCTCAAATGAGAATAGGGGTCTGCCTTGCACACCAAACTCTATGGAAAATATTTTTAATTTAGAACACGGTCATGCCATGTACCACCTGGTATGATGAGTTAAATGTAAAAGAACAAAGACTGGTCACAAACCTGCACAGGATTAAATCAACAAAAGTGCCAAGTGGTGTGTCCCATGTATGCACAGCTGAGTTGCACATGACTGGATTTCAATGATTTAATTATCATGTTTAGAACTCCAATTTTTTCAACTATACTGTGTATATCCAGAATGTGATTATAATTAACTTTTGTATATCATAACTCAAAGAAAAACTGCATCAATACCGGTATAAATATTAAATGATTTAATGTGACTGTAATGAAATATTATTAAAATCATTGTTATATTTAATTTAAGACTTTTCCTTTTCTATAGTGAGCTTATATTGGTGAGCACTGTTTTAGATGTACATGTATGGCATATTTAATGTCTTTTTAGAATATTTATTTTCAATGTATCAATCACAACTGCAAAAAGCAAAATCATAATCGCTGAGCATCATGTTCAATCTTATCAGCAGCTTTGAAGAACAAACACTAGTAAGTAATTATTTTATATATGCAAGATCTACTGCCACTATGGTCAAACTGTTTGATCTTGAATCGACTGCTTAAATAGAAGTTTTAATAACTTACTGTAGCTCTAAACACAGGCACTTGTAAATCTTATCCTTTTTTTCTTTTTATGGAATTATACTCCCTATACCTTGTTAGGTAGGACTTTAGGGAAAATGTTATTTTTTATATTAAAAGAATCATATTTAAATGGGAAAAACTCATAGGTGTCGGAGCCCCCCCCCCCCCACTTTTTTTCCAAATATATACTTAGTATATAGACATTGAACATATCTTCGTAAGTTTAGCCCCCTCACTTTCCACAGATACGTCTCAGTATAGGTTAAAATGGGGAAAGTGGTGGTGTTTGGAAGAAAAGTTTTGGTACTGGAGTTCGAACCTACCTAACCCAACCCCCCCCCCCCCGCCCACGAAATAGGATTTTCGTGTTTGGAAAATAGACATTTCCCCTTCTTTTTGTCAGGTTTTTTTTGGAGGTACAAAATTTTTTTTTTTACACTTAGCCCCCCCCCCACTTTCAATGTGCTTCCGACGCCAATGCAACTTTACCCCTTTTAGCCCTATGGTAACTTTCAAACCCTAAAAAAGTTTGACAAGCTAAAAAAAAAAAAGGAAAATGTGTCCATTTCGTACAATTTCGTACAAACTCGAAAATCCTGTCGGGGGTGGGTGGGTAGGATCGAACTTCTGGCCTACATTATAATAAAAAAAAAATGGGGTGGCTATAAACTTGCCAAAGGTACTCATTACTTGTGTTACTGTACCATAGTCATGCATAGGGTTGCGATATCAGCGTTGTCAAATACTGCTATTAAGCATAAGATGTTTGCTCTTTAAAAAAATCACGTATCAATAGGCCTATCTGTTTCTTAAATATGAACTTTTTTCATCGAGCAGCATCTTGAGCAACCTCACATGCATTTTAACAGCTTCTCTGTGATCATGGTCATCATCTGTCATCTTAAATACTCAAATTTATAGCTTTTTTTACACATTAAAAACAAGATAAATACCTCAAAAGCTGCTCAAAGAACTCATTAGTGTATCAGTAAAAATAATTTGGTACATTCGGCAAAAGGTTAATTCATTCCATGCTAAAATATCTCGACAATGTAGATGTAAATAACGTAATCTTTGTAATGCCGGATGTTTTCTATGCATCCCGGTGAGGGCGCTGCAATCGGAGGGAGATCGTATAGTGATATCTATTGTGACGTCATAGGAGTCGGCGGTCCCTTCGTTTTAGGTCTATGCTTGAACGAAGTTATACACGTCCCCCCCCCCCCTCCTGAATCCGCCTATGGTATATAAATGATTAGTCTTTTAGAATCAATTGATCAAGGTATGTAAGACAAAGAAGAAAATAAATAATCTGTCCTCGATAATTTTGAAAATAAATAATCTGTCCTTGACAGGCATAAAAATAAATAATCCGTCTCAAAAAAATTTGCCAGCCCCCCCCCCCCCCCCCCTCAGAATCAAATGGTCGTCCCCTTACACCAAAATATGAAAAAATGACTTCACTGTGTAAAGACTTATTTGAATCACCATGTATATGAAAATCAAAATGTGATAAGGTTAAAAGAGTTGTTGTATATCTCAAAACTTCTTGTCTAGGGGCTTAAAATGGTCAATATAGACATTCTTATTATAAAATCATTTAAGTGCCCTTGGATTAAGAAACTAACAAAATACAACAATTAGGCCATGTCTAAATGTATTCTTAAAAATTAATGGTCGGACATTGTAAACAGTTTAAAATACTTGATTTTTGGGATGCATTTATCGCAGATATTTTGATACCTAAAATAATGATTTTTGGTATGATGTTTTTACCCCATGCCATGTCATGAAGAATACTGAAAATAAAATGTATGTGAAAAACAACTTCTGTAATACTTCAGTATGGTTTAATTCTAATTAATACAATATAGCAATATTTACATTCACTTTCTTTCCCTACTATTGCATTGGTTGATTTGAGTGATATTTACGCATAACACAGAAGACCCAATCACCAATGGTGTGTAGG